CTAAACTAAAATTAGTGCCGATCATGGGTTTGTTTAACTGCGGAGGAAGATTTTATCATGTGACTAACTTATCTGATCAGCTTGCCGTAACAATATGTAAGGGCACCAGTATAGAACTTGAATGACAACAATGGGTATGATCAGTTGCTAGCTCACGAATATTGGTGAGTCGAAATCATTGTTCTATGCAATTCGATTGAGTGCTTCAGTAAGATGGATTTTCCAAGGGGATTGTGTCCAATGTTGTTTGAGAGGGCAATGTTTGCAGATCGGAAGGAAAGCCAAGAAGATTATTGATGATAATTGAAGTATCCTGAATACAATCGTCTATAAATTTCTTTTGCACCATCATTTGCTTAATGCAATAAAGAATCCTTGCAGGGTTGAAAATGCCTTCAGTTTGATAGGGATTAAAAAAATACCTGTCATTTTCCTCCTTTAACCATTTTATTATCCCCTCTTTAATATCAGATGGGCAAACCAAGAGCATTGTCCAAGAGAAGTTTAGTTTCTGACTTCTTAAACCCATACAAGTCCCAAATTCTCTTCATAGTGCCAAATCTTCTGAAATGTTAAATCCTGAGGTGAATTCGGCCATAGTGACAGGAGTCACACCAGTTTGGAAAACACGAGCTATGCCTTCATCACAAGCATACTTCAAACGACTGTAGAATTGTTTGAACAAACTCTCAATTTTTTTGATCTTGCTTTGAGCTGAGTCACCTTCATTTTTGTGATGATTGGAGGAGTGTTTCGTTTTTGAGGGCTTCATTCATACCACCATCATATTCATTGATGCAAACATAGAGCTAAAGATGCAAAAAAATATTAGGTTTGTACTTTCTTTATTTAATAAAGATGATAACTGAGCAAGTGAAAAGTACCTTGTGACCACTCAGTATTACTGCATTCAGTAACCTTTCGGAATTCCCCAAAGCATCTGTATTTTCATCAATAACTTGAAAATGGCATCCCAACTCTTGTTGATATTGTTTCATGAATTTTGATATATTTACACTCAAAATTGTGTGAAAGTTCGCATTGAAGACGTATGTTTTGTTAGTACGAAGTCCAGCAAATTTGAGTTTCAGAACGAGGAATGAGGGTGCTAATTTTGTAGGGTTTTTGCCGATGTATAAATCCCTGAAAAGTTGTTTGAATCGTTCTCTGTTTTTTATGTCATAATAGGAAGACAAAGTAGAGAGGAATAGTGATTTTCCGAAACGACGAGGACGTAGGGAGAGTATGGCAGAAGTTTAAGAGCTTCTATTTTAGTGATGAAGTGAGTCTTATCTTGATAATAACCACCCCACTCTCTCAACTCAGTGAATGACCCTGTTGAAACTATCTCGAGGGGGTTTGAAGCAATTGAAAGAAACCGAGGAAAGAGGTGTGAAAGTGGAAAATGAAAAAAGCGAGGTCGAACAAGTTTTCTTAGAAATGCCCAGTAAAGTGTGTTGTACGAGAAGTTAAAAAAAAAGTAAACAAATTTCTTGATAAAATAAACAGTGATACAAAAATTACGTAGTTAAATCGAAATCCGGGCCGGGAAGTGAAATTGGAAGTGTTGGAATTGTAATTAGCAGAATTTTATTAGCTTAGCCAACTTTATATTTAGCCAACCTATCGAAATTAGTTTAGTCGCATCCAACATTTTCCAACGACTTTGAAGTGTAAAGGAATTTTATTGGATCATGTAAACGTCAAAAGAATTTTGTTACAGTTTATTTAATGTTGATTTTAATAATAACAGCAAAATTTTCTGCGCTGCCCTAATATACTATTAGTGTATATAAATCACGGGACTGCAACATAATTGGCTGCTGTTTTAACCCCCAAAACTCGACGCATTAAAAATTTATCCGATCGATGATTATATTAATTTCGCATTGAGACCTGCAAATTTACCCTAACCCTTATAGCTCACATGGTGCACCAGGCGAAATTAATATGAATCACCGAACCTCGATCGGCATTCAAAATACCAACCCAAGAATCGTCTGAATTTATTACAAGTCTCTGAATTCTTCCAAAATGGCCTTACCTGAAAGTCCAAGTTGTTCTAGCATATTTGGTTGCATTCTATCTACAAATCCATCACTATCATCCTCTTACTCTATCCAAAAATTGTGTTGGCATTGCTTCAGAATATTTTGCTCGTTTCCAACGTTTGTTGATGGCATCTCGAGATTGTCCAGTGCGTTTATTTGACTTTATAATTCTGTCAATGTTAATACTATTGTGTATTTATTGATTGAAATTGCGACGATTTAATTGGCTGACTTTTTGAAATTTCACGTATAGAGAATATTGCACGTGTAGAATATGGAGGGTGCTGCATTTATGGAGGGTGTACTTATGGAGGGTGCATTTACGGAGGTGACACTGTATTCGGTTGCAATATTAATATGATTGGTTGGTTAAATTGATATATTTAGCATTGTGTAAAACACTAAAATGCCTAACAATAAGTCTATTAAAAGAATTTCTAACAAATGCACAGAAACGTCGACTATGTCTTGACACCATTAAGTCTTTGTTGCTGTAATATCGTAATCTATATGACATAGATATCATGTAACGATTGATGTAACTGTTATTTTTGTTGAGTCAATAAAGATTGTGACTAAGTCTTTCACTTGCAAGGAATATTCTGACGACATTTATTACAAGTCATTAGTGAATTTATAGCATAACTGTATCAAGTCGAAAATATAAATTTTGCACTATAATGGAAGTCTATTATAACAAATCATACACGTTATTATGGACTCGGAGCTCATGGGTTGAGCCCAACTTTCTATTATACCGAGCTTCGACTGTATAAGTATATGCATTTATCTCCTGCCCACTTCATTGATCTGCACTCTTATAACAATAGTCTTAAACCAATTTGCTTCAAATCAATATAAAATATTGTTGTTTTCCTATTGATTCACACAAAGATTCACAAGCGTTTTGGTACCCACTGTATATCGAATAATTACCAGGGAAATAATGTATTTCAGAGTATAAAGAACTACTCTTTTAAAGACACATAATCAAATCTAGCGGGAGTCGAGCTGCTTATATATCTAAGTGTTGCGCTCGCAACGCGTCTATTTTAGTATGTAAATAATTATTGCGCATGCGGTACAATATTTGTTGCGTACTATTCTTTGGCTTATTTAGAAAACATCGGGACTGTACAGAAATCGAGAGAGGAATACCACAACATAATTAAGCAAATAATTCAGATCATACCGTATAATGTGAAAATCCGAATAATAATAACAAGCTACTGTCTAGGATGGTTACCCATTTATTTTTGGAGGTTATCAGTCTATTAAAAAACTATAAGGCATACTAGAATAATTCTCGCGTCTACCTAGTCTACCCGAAATACTAACGTGCCGTTATGTGTTGTGCATATCCCAAATAAAAAAAAACTCTATGAATTTCGGTAATTTCAAAAAAAAAAAAAAATTTAATTTGAAAACCAAGCCTCTTACCCTGCATTAAATTGGATTCCATCAAAGACCTAACGACCAAATACAAACGATTAATAAAAAGACCACTCAAGTATGACACCTGCAGGTAATATAATAATGACTAATTGAAGAGCAAGCTGACCAGGACAAAAATTAGCATTACATTATAATTAGGGCTTACTATAACCTTGAACTTGAAATCTTTCCTCATGATGCCAATAGCAAATAGTGAACCAAATCTTTTAATTAATGCTCTAATGCGAGTGAGTACTAGTTAGCTGTTCCCTTGTATAACAAGTCATCAAGTAAAGACGCAAAATATCCTGCAGATCTGATTTAAGCTACTCGGCGTCAGATGAATACATCAAACACACGAAATATCCCTCTGAAGACTCTTTCCTGGATGCCTCGGGTTTCTTATAAAGAACTTTGCGAAATTTGCGTTCCAGCTTGGTTCTTAGTTCCTTATCATTTTCTCCCATTAAAAACTTTAAACGAATTAGCGTTCAATAAAAGTATTTCATGTAAAGGTGCGCGAGATGTGTTTCGTACCTTACACAAAAAAGTTCCACCAGGGCCTAATGTTTCTTGTGCTAGAGAGAGTGCTGCTTCGCATAAATCCTTAGTAGAAGTTAGGGATTTGCGTGAAAAATCATGAATGGCAAGTTGACAATGCAATAACAAGAATTACCATCGATTGCATATGATCAACAAGATGCTTGCCAGAGAAATTCGGAGCCATGTCACTAAATATTGCGTTTGCCTTTCTATTACCAAGAAGAGCTTTAATCTTGTCTATTGTTTTATGCTCTGTAATATCACCTTGGATAACATTAACGCCTGATATCGGTTCTATTGGACATAGATCTACAGCAATGACCAATCCATTTTGAACATCTTGTTGCTTGGAGAAATCGTTTTTCTCTTCTGTGACTTCTTCCTCATCAAACTGTACGTCAATCTTTGATTTTGCAGTACGACGCTGTTTTTCGTTGCAGTCTTTTTGAGAGTCTATTTCTCCAAAGACTCTCTCAGCAATGTACTGACTCCACCCTCCCGGTGCAGCTCCACAATCGATAGCTACATTGCCCTTTTTAATAATTTTGTATTTCAAATCGAGTTCGATAAGCTTGTATGTACTTCTTGCACCTATAATGATATGAGTTAACGAATCAGGTCGAATCGAAACCATTCAAAGCATCGCACAGACAATTGAAAAATAGAATTACGATAATTCTGCCTGGCTGCTTGTTTGGTAAACCGATCACTCTGCTTACGAGCAATCCAGCGAGTAGAAGAGGAGGAGTATCGTATGTGAATTCGATGTAGAGGTAAGAAATGGTATATCGGTTGGGAGAACATATTAACAAGTTCTTAGATCATATGATGTACTAGTTTGTTACTATTTATTGGATGGGCTAAACTATAAATTCCCACGACTACGTTATGGGATAATAAATGTCCTTGATATTATAACAGAATAGCATCACCCGAATTCCGAATAGCATGGTATAAATATCACTTATACCTGACGGAACCCCCCCCCCCCTCCCCAGGTACATGTTACCACCCGAAGTTGGTGTCTTCTGCCCACAATCGTCCACATGCAATGAATTTGCGGTTTTATAGATATAGTAACAGGCAAGTGTTTATGTCCTTAATGGCCATTGCTAGTTTTTCCAGACCATTGCCTATATCCCGTTTGTATCAAATGCCTATTGCTTAGTGACGACATTAATAAACGACCAAATCAATGAGAAAATTGCGAGCACTCAAACAGAATAGAAATAAATTGGTGAAGAAAGGATAATTATTATCTGAATAGACTATGCTTGACCTGGATTATAACCATCCCAATGACATTGAGATTACGTTTGCGGCGTCAGTCAATACGATGACTTCACTATCGTTCCGTACAAATGAAATTTCTCGTTAGAAACAGATAATAAAGGAAAGGTTTATTAAGAAAGAGTGAAAGTGCGAAGAGATTAAAGACTGAAAATGATACAAAAAATTTTTTTCTGGACCTTTTTCGGTGGCGATGGAAAGAAAAGACCTTTTATATAAGTTTGGGGATCGAGGTGATGATTTCTCTACATAAGTCTTCTTGCTGGACTATTTGATAAGCTAATTTGATTTCTTGGGTCTCAAAAAGAATGTTCTTTTCAGCAATATCATTGTGTAAACATCATGATCCTTGCAAGTTGTTTCATTATTGTCCTCTTCTGTTCCGCTCGAGTTGCACGATATTCCGATGCGGTCCACCATAAAAATTACTATTTTCTCATTTGAAAAAAAAAAGAAGAGAAATCAAGTACTTACTATAGTTATGAACAAAAAACGCGCGCGCTGTTGCAAAAGACTTTACGGATTCTCTTCGGAACCGTTCTCCAATCTCCTCAAGCATGTAAGCAGTCCCCAATGTTCCATCATCCCATGTTGAGCGCGTCTTTAAGACCATATCCACCGCTCATTTCTAGTTGTGTGAAACTTCCGTGTTTTGTGGCATAACTCAATGGACGATCTCCTTGACCTTTGAAGGTAGGCAACAATGGCCAAGTAACTGATGGATTTCAGACGCCATTTTAATAAATGAAAATGTTGGATCATTTCGTATAGTCGTTTCAGATCTTTCCACAACGTTTATCTGGCGAATAAATTTTGCTTGCCGCCGAGTTTTTAATTGGTTGTAAATCTCAGTGCCTTAATTAAGGTACCTGTATTGTGGATTGGCATTTATGCAATTTAGAAGAATGAAACTCCAAAAAAGAATTCGCTTGTGAATGTAAGCATTTTTGTAGAGGCATCGTTATCGATAGATTTGTTTTATTTCAACAATATAGTATTAGCATATTGTTTAACGATATTAATGTTTAGTATATTGTGTTGATTTCTGAAGAGTGAAATATGCTTTTAGAGTAAAGATGTGTGACTGGCTTAATCAATGACTACAATTTGCGTCATTGTATGCAAAGCCAACGCGGTTAGAAGGACTGAGAATAGTTACTGGGAACGCCAATTGAGTATTGATAGGCATTGTTCCACATTATGTCTTGTGAGTGATCATCTGACCACCTTAAAAAGCCCCTTTTCGATAATACAGATATTCCCATTAACTTTTTATCCGCGTTATCACATCCTTTTCTTTCCTGGTCGACATCTTCTATAAGAATATTAAATTAATATAATATATTGTTAGTTTGAACGCTATTCGCGGAAGTCCTTTACCGCGCCATGCTCACCCGCTTAATGTTCGAATGTAAGAAAATAACAGTTAGAAGCTTTTTTCGGGGCAGCAGTCATTTATACGGTCTGCCCAGACGCATAGATGTTAGTGATGGTATTACATCAATCAGGATACAGCAGGCTGCACATAGAAAGTTCGTTTCCCATAATTCGGGTTTAGAATTACTTTCTTCTTCGGAGGATGATATATCGACCTATCTTCCTCAATTACTCCTTCTGTTTCGCGGAGATATGAAGAAAGAAATTTACGGCGTCCTCGGGAATAGAAGATACCATTGAAGCGAACACCGAATCCAGTATTGACCGTTTCTTCTATGGAAAGTCCAAATGTTTCTGTGGTTACTGAGGCATCAGTTTTTCCAGAGGCTTTATCGTTTCCAGAAGTCTCTTCCGATAATTTTCTTCCCGATATTGGTGTAGATAATGACAACGAATATGTATAAAATAATAATAGACGACGTTGACGGTGTTGACGGCGCACTCAATAACTTTACTATAGATTTATGGAGGTTGAAGAACGCAATTCTGATGATTTCATTGTATGGGGGAAACATATGATAATTTTTCCATGCTTCCATGTATAACTAATTATGTTGCGATAATAATAATTGATTTTACATAGCAAAGTATTGCATGTTCTCTTAGCTAGAACTTCATAAATAATAGTTTCTTTCAAGGACATTATTGTTATTGTTTATATCAAGCCTGTTAAAAACAATCAACAGAACCACATAGCTGCAAATTATAACTATAGAGTTTGCAAAATACCTGCTGAGAAAGAAGGGTTGACACTTATATTAAAATATTAAATCTTTATTATTTGGGGCAGACTACAACAAAACAAGACAAAGTGAACATTTTATTAACGTTATAATGAATTCAAAATGACTTCTGTAGCCAGACAATGCCAAGTGGCACAGCTGTGGCTCAAACATAAACCATAGACTAAATTATTTTAGCCAAGGTCCTGTTTCCAACATGGTTGACATCAATAGAAACCAATGCTAAACATCGTACCATGTTGCTGCTGCAATTTCTTGAAAGTCGACTAATCGTCTGACAATAACATGATGTGCTTGAACTTTTTATTGCAACCGCGAAGGTTCTGATGCCTCCTGCTATCCTCGCGTAGTATGGTAGCTGCAGCTGTAATCTGACAGCAGCTCGTGTTCCTCGTCATATAAAGGTCAGGCTGCCATTCTATGTGCGGGTGTGAGGGAAGTGCCTCCACTAACTCAACTACTTCTCGGCATCTTCAAGATCCTCATTGCGACGTTCAGAATAATAGATGGGTTTTGTCTGTGTTATTCCCCGCCCAAACAACTAACGAGTAATCCATGGTCTCCCTATTCACTGTCCGCCACCAGCCGATCACCTTCCAGCTCATGCAGCAGTTCACCTAAACTCAGTTGAGTTAGATAATACCATTTCGAAGAGGACAGACCCACACCGAGCTTACCTTTAGTGACAATCGGACGCTAGCCCTGAAGCGTTCCCCTATACTGAATCTAGTGTAACTGCGACGACGTTTCCTCGAGTAATGCAGAACGCCGAATGAACTACGTGCTGCATGCACCACTTCAAAATCATGTATGGATGAGGCGTAGAACTCTCCGTCAAGGTTAAAGTTAGCCGTATAATTGGAAATCCTACAGCGGTGTGGGGGAGGGAACTCAGGCTGCAGGTTCGCGCACATGCTCCTTAAAGAAACGAAACAAGACAGTTTCGCGGGATGTGGCCATCCAGTTGTGGGTCATTCCTCAAGTAATGCAGAGTCAAGAGGTGTTGAATGTGCCTATGCTGGCTCGCGCGCAGTGCCTAAAGGCGTTGTTTTAGTTTGAGTTGCAGGTTGCATTACTACTTTCGCGAGGGACTTTTGGTTGCATTACTACTCCAGCGAAAATTTGGTGAAAACGCGATTTTCCATGTGATGACTAAGAAATGATGAGATGAGATAACCGATGATCACGTGATTACTATGCCTGTACGCGCATTATCTTTTCTTCCTCAAAGTCTTTTAGTCCGCCAGCTTTTTTCTTTTCTTTTCTTTTCTTTTTTTGCAAGTTTCGTCGATACAAAAGGAAAGCATTTGTGGATGTGGCACGTTTCCTTTCTTCTATTACTTTTTGTCGGCGCTAAAAGCTCACGCAGCGACATTACAATTGTTTTTCTAGCGTTGGACAATATGGTGTCAGTAGCCATGCTATTCGAAGTTGTTTTTATAAATCTATATATATTGTGAGTAAAACAATAGAGCTTGGAAAATATTGTCACCTTTAACAGCATTGACATTCCTGGAAGCACAATACAACATATCATTATTTAATAGTATCACGCGATATACTAATACAAACTCCCTGAATATGAATGCACTACCCTCGGAAAAGTATCCAGCCAAGCTTTTTTTTTAAATTTCTTAAGATCGAACATATTAATTGACGTTGGAAGTTGGAAGGATGGAGTAAACACGGGGGGTCAGGGATCAGACCGCATACAGCAAAACAATAGAAAGTCCTTCGCTACGCTCCGGACAATTAATCTATTTCAAAACAAAGATTCACCTTGTGATGCCAATAGCAAACAGATCACCAGTAACGCTTTTGCCAAAATGAGGATGTTTAAGTCACAAGAATGTACGATGAATTTGGGGTGAATATACTTTGATAAACATATTGCCATACACGTTTAAACGCTTCAATAACATGTTTGAACAAAAGCGACAATAGCTTTATTACATCATAGCGACGATTGGTTAAAAAAGATCTAATAACATTTTTATGAGAAGACAATAAAAAAAAGTCATTTTATGAGTGCCATCTATTTACAATAAACGAATAAACGTAATTGCCACGATTTAAAGTATAACAAAGAAGAATCCTTTTCTCTATGTAATCAAAGATTTCAATAAGTACAACTTTATTGTAATCAAAGATTTCTTGTGATGAGGGAAATTTTGGTTGCACAGCAGGAACATGTGCATTGTTAGCTTCGAAGATGCACAACTGGTTCCTGAAATAAGTAAAACAAAGTTTTATAATTTAGATTACAGCCTATTATTATTTTTTCAACAGAAATAATATTATAATGATTAATTACCCTTATCGCAAGGTGGTTTTGGATTAGGGCAATCCGCATTGACGCTTGGTACCATACTGGCAAACAGGGCAAGAGCGATCAGCAGGAGAATGATTTTTGAATTCATGATTACTTTTTTGTTGGAGCTTGAAAGGGCAGTTTAGACGTTCTTTATATTTGAGGACAGACTATCGAGTTGATTTCGGTTATAAATAATATGATCCGCACTAGTTAGAAAGTTGGAAACATCCTTCTTACCGATCAAATGAGATCTCAAACAATTATGATGTGATGAAAAGAGTAAATTGAGTCCACAAAATCATTCTCGCTAACAATAACGCTTTGTCAGTTGGGGACCTGTCGACAACTGACATTGAATTTTGGTTACCGTAAATAGGATCGGCTATTTCTCTCCATCGCGGATATTTTGATTCAGACAATAATATTAGTTTACAAGAATTGAGCACAGTGTTTTACCGATTTCGTAGAAATAGTAGTCGCACGAAATATATCTACAAGAGTTTCGCAGTAGGCGGCAATTTATAAGCTTCGAATTCAACAACAGCCACTACTAAGCTCCATCGTAGATTGATTTCTAGGGATCTTCAGCCCGTAATAGCGTTTGCCTTCTCGAACTGATTGATACCTATAATATTTACATAATGACGATTTGTCACGTAAAAAGCAACATTCGTTCTTATCCACCGATAAAACATCAGGCTAGAATCACGGGACTGCCCTTCCTTTTTTTTTTTTTTCGGACGACCAAGTTCACATCACCAATAAAATTTAATAGTTTACCGTAAAATAAACAAGTTTAAAATTGCACAATAATCTCTATATAATAATAATGTAACGAGACATATTCATCACGTAAGCACAGTGCATCACTTAATAAACATGACGTATATTCGCGTTTAAAAATTGTGGCTGTGCACGAGGACAAAACATATCCGATATGTATCAAACACGAATCATGAATTCATGGTTTCAGCGAATATGAAGACAATATCATTTTTGGAATTAAACCGTAAATGTGGTTACTTTCATCGATTCTCGAAAAAGTTTTGCTGAATTACATGAATGCAACATTTGTTTAAACGTGCTACACACCTTTTTAAGCACGCACAAAAATTTCGATAAATTCACTCGCTAAATTTTCTGGCATAAAAATGGCTTTCGTAGCCGTGACGATGTTGTAATCATTTTAGCATAAATTTCTACCATAAACCATCTAGTCAACATGAAAAACGTATTATAGTGCTCTAAAGTAATACTGTATCCGAAAGGAAAATACGGCACAAGTCGTGGTCGATCATGTCAACCGTTGCAATCACATGTTATCATACAATAAACATCTGCGTTGTGGCGTTTAATACCATACACAAATTGTGGCGTCATGATCTTTGTCTGCCTTGGTTTGTAAACCGCACAATCCTGACCCTCTCTCCACAACTATGAATGACGGAATTAGTATTCTTCTTGCATTTTTCGTTATAGTAGTGGTGTTTCGGTGGCTATTGGGTAAGTCTGTCTTCTCTACCAACTGAAAGATTTGGTAATAATACTTGTGCTGGAACTTGAACAACCATCCCAGAAATCGCTCAACTTTTTGAAATCTATAGCCTCGACATCTGAGACCCAAACCTTACGGAGACCGCATAATACAACCCTGGATCAGTTCAGAATGCGTCCTCGGCCCGTTACGGCAGAAATGGTTTGAGATTGCTTCTAGTTGGTTACGACATAAATAGAGGATTTCACTTATGTAGAATCTGCTACGTTCTGTAGGTGGAGACGGTATGTGCTATGTTTCCCAACATCCCCCCAGCTGCAGTACAGTTTGATCTTCAAAAGACAGGTTCAGTCGAAGTAACATGTGACAATATTCTACAGAATGGTGGCACTCTGCCCATGGTACGAAGAAAGAAAACATTCTTGCAAGTTTATTATTCAGCTGTCCCAATTATCTGAAAATCTCTAATCTTTTTTGTTGCGTTTTGTAGCCACCCGCAGCCATTCCTCAGCAGCCGTCTACTAGCCCTTCGACTTCGTCCGCGTCCTCGTCGTCGTCCTCCATTACTAATGCAAGTCAACAATCACTTGTCCATAGATTTCAGCTTGAAGAGGCAGTGGCCAAGAATGCTGCTCCCGAAGAGCCACCCAGGACTTGGGAGCAAACGGCTGAGAAGCGGGCAGAGATCCTGCGAAAAAGAAAAGAAGCAATGATTCTGAAGGCAAGAATGTACGAGATTGGATTGTCGTCGTCGCAGTACCTCCCACGTTTTTATCATATTGTAGCACTCTTTACAAGAATATCTGTAGTAATGTGATGCTTTTACCTTTCCAGGCGTTACCTTGAACAGGAAAAGAATGATCAGAACACGAAAGTACAGACTGTCTCACCTACGTCGAGCAGTCTGCCGACAGAGCTGTTTTCCAAGAACTTTGATTTGTCGTCAGAAATGCGACGGCAACAATCGTCGCATAGCATCGAGCTAAAAATGGGAAACACTAATAGAAAGAATTAGAGTTCTTGATTATGATGATTTTTAGGTAAGGGTTCTATTGGTAAAGATGGATCAGATAATTATACAAACGTTTTGATTGATATATACATATTTTTTATTTTCCAACTACATGATTAGAATCACTCCATCTTACGGACTTTTTCCGAGATGTTTTCGTCTCGACTGTATAATAAAGCTGCTAATAGGGGCTTGAAAAGAGGAACATTCAAGGCTTATTGCCTGCGAGAGCTAAGGATGATTGATAAACATGAGTAATTTTCATGAGGACTATAGATTATTATCTAAGAATAAACTACTTTGTGAAATAATTGATAATTTCTAATTTATGAAATTGCATTATTCTAACATTGTATAACAAATGTATCAGTCACTACAGCTCGCTAGATTTACCAAGACCATTTCAAACATTTGTAAAAGTAAAAGTTTGCGCCACTAAGGAGTCGGCAGGTTAGTGAAAATTCAATGGCAGGTTTCCATCCCGCTTAGAGAATCACGTTACACACGTACTATGGAATCAAAGAGTTGCAATATAAAACTTTGACACCTAGTCCACATATGAGATCGCGCCTCCCAAGTACACGTTTCATCAAAAACTCTATTTAGCACTCGCGATATTTTTTGATTGGAGACCATATATTTCTGTATGTACTTTTAATATATAGATCAAAATACCAATTCACTTTAACCATGTGAAAAAGGAGATTGTCCAGGTATTTGTCCAAGGATCAAGTGTTTTGCATAAGGGGCCAAAACCATGCAGGAAACGTGTGCGTAATTACAAAAAGGGGTATCTAGACGCGACAATGGCTAGCCGTTTACAATAGCCCTGAAACATAAATTTGGTCGTCGACAATTTGCCAAGATCGATTCGCATCTACTTTTCATGGAGGCTGATGAATTTAATCCCATAAATTTCATTAGCTTGTCGGTATTTTTTTCAACGTTATTCTTTATGATTTGCAAATCAATCAAATGGACTGAATTTTCAGCAATGGATTGCTCGGCAACTTACACACGTGACGTGTTAGATTATTGTTCTGTTGCAAACGCCAGCTCTTCTCCTGCAGTGTAATAATATTTTTGAAACCAAATAAAAAGTAGGATCGATCTCCATTCCATTCCTCCCACGCCAATATTATTTGTGTAACCTTGGTTTTACGTTCGTTTCCTCAACGGTACCCGTTTCTCCAGGTTCTTTGAGATTATGCAGCTCAACAGTACGAAACGGAAAATTTGTTAATCGTGTATTACTTTGGCTAAATGGCGCCGTTGAGCCAGTAATGTTTAATTGTTTGTCTTGAGCTTTGAGCTTCGCGTCAACCATTTTTACGAAAGTATACAAAAAAAGTGGAATTACATTTATCAGTATTTCTTTGTCTTACAAAAAACGCATATTTTATTAACCGCCGTATTTTCATAGATACGATGATATGTATCCGTGTGCAAGAGTGTACGGGAGAGCAACAAATTAGGATGATGTTTTGAAGAACGGATATAATTATGAATATGATGTTATCTTGATTGTACATCCCTGTGAGAATATGAGTTACGTTAATTGATTAATTGATTACATCACATTAACCTTTTAAAGAATTATTTATCCCTTTTACATTGTGAATAATAAACAGCAATAATTCAACTAATTTAACTGCTCATACTGCAACAGATGGGGGGTTTTCTGATTGGTTTTAATAAATGTATTAATATTTTCCTTCAGAAAAGCCGAACAAGGATGCGAAAAATAGACGGCGTGTGTAAGCTTAATAAAGTTGTATGAATTGTGCAACACAGTCAGCGTTCCCCCCAAAATCTTCCTTCTTTAAAAGTTGAAAGCAACGTCATTTTCACAATGAAAGATAACCATTGTTGTCTTTAGAAATGTATATACAGAATAAAGATGGGTCATTCATACTATTGTAACGGAACAAGTAATTTATGAAGTAATCACAATTTTAATTGTCGGATAATTTGTGATTACGTTTTCTTTATTTGTAAAGAGTACCACCAATGGGTCGAGTAATTTATGTCCGAGACATGCTATAGTGAATTATTTTCAACCCCTTTTTCTATTTCAGAACAATCATTGTCATACGTACAAATACAACCCAAATCGATACTGATTGGATGCTGGAAATCATTTTACCAGGGAGGAAGAAGGAACAATAAACTTCTTGTTCCGCCATGTCTTTGCCCCAACGTGCTGATGAATGGGTAAACCTCACAACAAGGATAGGGGCGTGCTTGTATACATTGGGATTTGATATAGTTTATGCGTTTTCCGCACAAAGGTAAGGATGACGTGACTGGAATAATGATAGGAAAACGAGCATAATGGACAGATAATGTTGTGTATGCGTGTATGCGTGTATGCGTGTATGCGTGTATGCTTTCCTTTTCTTCCTGACACAAAGGAGGCCAAATGCAAGACAGCTGTATCAAAGTATTGCTGTACTCAAGTCTTATCAATATTTGTCATTATGCACTTCTCCTACCTACCCCACCCCTACCCCACCCCTTGTGTCATACATACTAAACTTTTTTTCCCATCTGATGCAAAACACCAACCCTCTCTGCTGTACAAAAGATACAATACAGGGGTAAAGACGCATGAGCCATTGACAACATTCGATCGCACCAATACCTTGGCTGTGCTGGTTGGCAATACAAAGGTTGAGAATAGTCATCGATAACCTCCATTTGTTGTATAACATGCATGCAGGAGCAAAATGTTGACTTTAATTACAATATTCACGACAGCATTTGTGGCATATTTTCACCTCGTATGTACGCCATAATCTCAATTCCCAAAAACACCCCTTGGACACATACACAAACATTTGCATTGAACACGTTGTCTCGAATCTTGTTGCTCGTTACCCCAAGAGTCTTGCTTATGATATCAGATATGCTTACGAAGTAACACCGGAAAGATTAGTGTCATTTCAGCAATTAATGACATCCGCCTCATTTGCATATTACAACCCTAATTGCTTTCTAAGCATACATCCTAAATATGGTCCTTGGTTTGGTTTGCGAGCTGTTAGTAAGTATCATTGCCATACACGGCAATTCCGATGGGCTTTTTGTCAAACAGTTGTGTTTAAGATGTGAGGAGGTGAGGGGGTGCGGTGCTCGGGTGCGGTGAAAAGTGTAGAAAGAGTTGGTATAACTCTTTTTTATTTTTATCAATACAGTTACGATCGACATGGAGGGACCAGGTGAAACGAACTTACAACCGCCATTGACTAACCCATTTCCGGATTTAGATAATGTCTTGGCGTGTAAATGGGAAGAAATATGTAAAAGTGGGGCTCTAGCTTCCTTGTCGTCTTATGAACAACCAAATATGGAAACAGGAGCGGATGCGGAAATGGATAATAATAGTAATGATGAGGGGGATATCATCGAGAACAGCGGTTGGTACAAATTAGTTGAATTAAGAGACCTTGCCTCAAATATTCAGCCGCATCCCTATCGTTACAGCATGAATCAGATTTGCTATCATTATACTAAAAACCCAAAATATATTTGTGAATAATAAAGTTAAACAGGCTATTGTGCTTCGTTTTGCTATTTCTCTTGTTGTTGCTGTTTTATTATTATTGTTGTTGTTATATTATTGTTGTTGTCGCTGTTGTTGTTGTTGTGTTGTTAGTATGGTTATTATTGTTATTATTATTATTATTATTATTATTATTATTATTATTATTATTATTATTATTATTATATTATTGTTAGTATTTAGTATGATTATTAAGCTGTTATTATTTTAGAATGTGGCACATTTCGGTCACACGGCATGTGGAAAATACCCTCCCTCCTTATCAGTTTCACCTAATAAACCCGGTGCTAATAGCAAAAAAGACTCATACCATACTCCTTATGGAGTTTCAGCTTTGTTCTAACGACCATGTGCTAGTAGCAAAAAAGGGCTCGCACCAATCTCCTTTGAGTTTCAGCTTTTTTCTAATAAACAATGTGCTAATAGCGGAAAAGACGCAATATAAATGTTATTAATTTTGTAACACTCCAGATTGTCCTGTACCCCAATTTCCTTAGTTGTTTCTCATCTATAGTCATTAATAAAGGAAATTTATTTGCACTTACCAATAACAGACAGTAATTTATAATTTTAGTATAAAGACAATACAATGGCATATTAAACGGCTGTATTTACTTTGTGACTGCGCCCAAGATCAAACCTGTGCTCCTCGAAAATTTAGATATTTAAACACGGGCATTTTCCTTGCTTTCGAAATTCAAACTCCTGCATAAAGAACTTGTCTACTGGATAGACGATAATCAACTAAACCACTTCATACATCACACACTACACGTACATTTCAAACAAAATGAAGCGCGTCATTGCTCTTTTCTTCGCTTTCGTTGCCCTCGTTGCTCTTGTAGCTGCTCAGGATATGACTATTAAAGTAGGAGATGGTGGTCAAAAGTTCAACCCAGCCACTGGCACTACCTCCGCTGGTTCTACCATCACCTTCATGTGGGTTAGTGGCCCACACAGTGTCATTCAAGCTGATGACGGTACCTGCAATCCATCAGCTCAAGCAAATGCCTTCAAGGTCGCCCCACAATCCACTGGTACATCAACTTTCAAGGTCCCCGCTGGTATGCCCAAGGTAAGCTACTACTCTAATATAAAAAATTTACCTTGACTCAATTCTTGATCCCTTGCAACTCACACATTTTATGCTTGATTTTGTAGTTATGGTTCTACTGTGGTGTCGCTCAACATTGTGCAGTAGGAAATATGAAATTGGTTCTCACTGTCGGTGGTGGTGCTGGAGGCAATGCCACCACTAACAGCACCTCAGGTGGTTCCACTGGTTCTTCCGGTTCCGGTTCTTCCGGTTCCGGTTCTTCTGGTTCTGGTTCTTCTGGTTCTAGCTCTTCTGGTTCTGGCGGTTATGGTTCTGGTGCCGCGACCTTTGGTGCAACCTTCGGCGCACTCTTCACCGCCCTTGTTGCTTCCGTCTTATTGTAATCGTAATTTAATCAATATGTACTCTACATTGGATATATTTACGTTCGTTTTACATTTCAATAATCTAGAAAAACTAGAGTGGGCAATATCATGTAGTTGTAGATAAAACAATATATATTACACGGCGGCAAAATGATAACCGCACGTTAAAATAAAGGAGTCATTTGAAGTGGAAAATGAACTGCAAATACGAAAAGCGTTGAACTTTGAAATAATTTATTAAATGATTCGCTACTTGCAATTAAGCAAATTAATGGAACAGTTTAACATATTAATATCAAATATTAACATTAATTAATATTATGATGATTTATTATTATACTGTACCTACGGAATTAATTGGTTCAATTGTCGTCCTAAATTAGCAAGTAAGAAAGATCGTTGGAGATATTAAAATATCGTCGTTAAAAAAGTCTTACAAACAATATCATTATAGTACGGTTATTTCTATTATTCATCGCTATTGTCATAATATATTGTTCGCACGACCACACTGTGCAGAAATGCTTGGCTTTTGTTGACTTTAAATGGTTATTATCCATTCCGACGAAGAGTATCAACAATAAAAGAGTGCTAACGTTTGTTGACCAGTTCTGATGGTGAGGAAACAAGATGCCGGAAAATGGCCAGGCCGAGATTCGCCCGCAATGAGCGAGTTGCGTTTATTAATGATTAACGATTAGATTATGCGATCATTTTATTATTAGCAATTAGCAAAACTGACACAAAAAGAGAATATACGTACTACAGCACTACAGCGGAAATGATTTCCTTTTTTTCCATTATAACAACAAATCTTTATTAGAAGAGTTTATATGTCACAGCAAAATTGGGAACCATAAAGAAATTACAAGAATAGAACTTCCGGCACCGATAATCAACAAGATGTATCCCAGCCAGCGACGCAAGCATTAAATATAATTTTGATTAATTAAATGATATCACATCACCACTTATTCCATTCAACGGTTTACTTGTCGTTTCATCTACTTTTCGTATTTCTTCCGACGCCATCTCGCTCACCACGTTCAAGTTTGCTTCGTTTCCCCCATTATGCACATTTCCTAACCCTGCCTCACTCTCCACACTGATCATTGAAGTTTCGGATAGCGCCGCGTCTTGCATCAAGTACATGCTACCATTCGATGATGACTCGATCGTTCTCACCATCTCGTAATCATCGTCATATTTATCATCTCCCATGCCTCCATATCCTCCATCATCGTCATCATCTCCTATCTCACTTATCTCATCAGCATTAGAAACCACCACTAGACCTTCGGTTGAACTAGTATTGTAACTGTTATTTTCTCCGTTCCCATTGATAGGTTCGAATACGTCAGAAAACTCTCTTATCCATGAGTGTTGGAGAAGCTCCTTTGCTGTTGGACGGACAACTGCCGACTGAATGAAGCACTGTTTGAGAAAGTCTATCCCCTTTTCAGACAATTGAGACGGGTCTGGAAGAGGAGGATGTCCCGTGACCACGTGATACATCACTGCCCATTCATTGTCGAGATTATGCCATGGTCGACGTCCAGTTGCCATTTCCAAAACACAGCAACCCAGAGACCAAATGTCCATTGAACCTTTCCGACCTTTCTCTCCCCCAGTAATTATTTCTGGTGCCTATTCATTAGATAAGGATAAGTTAGTTGCATAGAAGATATACAACCTGCAGAATTGTATGCTATTATAATATATTTACCATGTACATCGGCGTTCCCGTTAGGCTATTTGCACCAGTACGTATTCCCATGGTCGTCCTACCCATCGTCTTTTGATTCTTGGCGAGTATCTTGGCAGCTCCAAAATCCACAAATTTAATAACTCCCGCATGATCAAGGAGGATATCTAATGGATAAGCACAGACACGCGCCGAGATGAGAGGACAAATTAGTTAGTATATATGACTTAGGATAAAGTAATAAACTGGTTACTATAAATTCAGTTGCACTACTTACTATCTGGCTTAACATCTCGATGTATAACATCACTGTCATGTAAATATGATATCCCTTTCAACATCTGATATGTATAACACTGTATCACAGTCTCATTTTCAATGCGCCCATGATCTAGCAGACTGCTAAGAGATCCGCCTTGACAATATTCCATAAATATATACACCTTATCACGATGTACTTCAATTCCATAATACGATACTATGTTGGGATGATTGAGCTTTTCCATAACTGACATTTCCTCCTTAACAGACTTGTACAATGTCGTTAGAGATGACGGGTCGGGAAATCTTATCTCTTTGACAGCCATCAACTCTCCCGAGTCCAGATTCACAGCCAAATATACGGATCCGAACGTACCAGCACCAAGAAACTTGCCTTGCTGCCATCTGAGTGATATGTTGGAACTTGACGACGCAAGAAATACCAGTGGTCTATACTCAGGCTGATTGTCATCTAGCACCTTTCCTATCAATCGATTCTCCATTTGCGACTGTAATCTCCTTGTTTCTAGTTCACGTAATGCACTCATCATCTCTTGTCGAAGTGTCAGCGAATCGGTTGCCTTGTTGCTAGAATTACCAGCAGTGTTCTTCTTTTTCCTGTCTGCTAACACTCCAGCTACCTCTACTTGCTCTCTCTCCTGTGCTTCTCGTGTCGATTTAGCACCGCCGATATCCACGTGTTGAACCAACAATCTCATACACAATGAGACTTTTTCTTTTAATTTCTCAAACTCTTCCTCTGATAATCCCAGAATATTATTTCCTCTATTGGTAGTCATAGCAAACTCTAATGCATTCACTGCCCATCGATATGTCTTACGATCGGTCGGTATACAATCATCGCATATAAAACTAACCCATTCGGTAGCCAATTTGGTCAGTTTTTCGTTTAGATCGACTCGCACTTGATCTCGATGCATGTATCTGAGGCATTGTGATCCTACCTCTGTGGCAAACCCAAAGCAATTCTCAATCAAGTCTTGATCTTGTACTCCTTCGATACTCTTTCGAATGCTACCCACGCTGTCGATGAGGATATTGACGAACCTAAGTGCTGTCTTTTTAACTTTCGTTAATTCTCTATTTACATTACATACATTGGCTCTTGTCTCTAAAACACATTTCATTTCTAGTCCATCAACGCATCCACTGAATTTCTTCTTACAATTCTGTAACCTGCCTGATGCACCGTCTGCGACTAGGCGTGTCCGATATCTCTTAAAATCAGGGAAATCTAGATTAACCATCGAAGTTTGTATGAATTGACCTGTCCATTCAAAGGCCATTGGTGGAGAGAGAACAAGAACGTATTCGTATTCGTCTGGTTCGTTTTCGTCGTCGTAAGCATTCCGCCTATCGTAAGCATTCCGCCTATCGTGAATATTCGGTTTCTCGTGATTAGTCGGAGCGAGGATTGATCTCAACATTTGCATTATCCTCTCTGGTTGCTCGGCAAGTGATGGCGTGGCTACAATGGTGAATTCACTGCTTTCCGTGTTCTCCGAAGCAATAAGCACATGATTCGATTGTCTGAGAGATTCAATAAACGCAGGGTAGCGTTCGTCTTCGATGTAGTATTCTGAAGCGTTTTCTAGTTGTTCAATCAAATATCTAGACAAGAGAACTAACGTCAGTTACTATACTAAATTATTGTCATGAAGAATCCCTATCCGACCACTTGTCTGTATTGCATCTCTCAACAATGAATAGTTACCTAGTAAAACGTAATAGCTTTCGTGTTCTTAACCGTATGTTCTCCAAGCATTTGTTATACCACTTCGCCTTGTCAGCATTGTCAAAGCTCTCTGGTAGCTTGAGTTGAGATTCCAAGGACGATATGATGCTCTGAAGTAGTTTATTGTTTAATATACTAATAGAATTGTAATCTTGGTGAGAAACAGCGCTTCTTTCTTTCTTCCAAATTGTATACTAATGTTATCCTTAAGAATGTGTCAGTCACCGCTTATTCAGATCGGTCGTTCTTACAGTATGAACACTCACCAGAATTGTACGGCAACCGTGGACTCCCCACCTTCAATGCGTCGACATATTCGATTGAGAAATTGCCATTCATTATCCAACATTTCTGCTTCTTTGACTGTTACAGCCTTTATCCCGTTCTTCAATTTCCATTGTAATAGTTTAAAGTAGAACTTTAATGAATCCAACAACACCTTGTTATAGTTCTTGTCTATACAGGGAGGAATTTCCCACCCGGGAGCAGGTGTCATTAATTCAAGATATTGATGTTTGATTTGACAGGCTAGTTCCAAGGCAATACGAAAATCATCCATTGTCTGTTGAATCATGACTATAGTAGGAGAAGTCAAACGATTAGCGTATTCCAAAAGTAACTTCATGCATTCTTCCATCAATTTCGTGGGAAAATTGAGCAGTTTTTGTAATTCATTGATATATGGAGGCAGTTTCATCTTGGCAAACGCGTCAGCATTGTCTATCATGACTCTTTTAGCCTTCCCTAACAGAGAATTAAGAGTAGACAGAGTCCTCTTCTCGAATGTTCTTTTAAGACCATTCTCTTTTAATATTCTTTCTATGAACGATGGATTCTCCGCATCTGGAGGAGCATCGTTAGGACGAGCAATTTCCAGGGTCTCGCTAACCGTCCAGTTTTGTAGAATTTTTAACTGAGTCTGCAGACTGCGTGTCACTGTCAACCATGAGTTTAGTGCATCCAGGGTATATTCTAATTCGGATGATTTGTATAATGGCTTGCTCTCCATCATCATCTTACGCGATGGATATAAACTCTCACATTTATCTACCCTTTGCAATAGCTCTGCCACTTGATCTATGGCAGGAACATCACCCGGTTTGAGAGCAAAATTAATGACTTCTTGTAATACACCATCTACTTGTTGACGTTGTTCTTCTATAAAGGCCCTCTCTTCAGTAACTGAATGACCGTGTGTCATAGATCGTAAACCCCACCATATCTGATTCATGTTATTCACCTGTTCCCTCTGCTTTCCTCTCGATAATCGACGTTTTTCGGATTTTATTATTTCACCTTTCAACACAGCTGCCAGCATATTCTGCCATTCCAATCTCTCTTTCTGACTTTCGTGAAATATCATGGATGCTCGGCGATTGAATAACTCGCAATCGTCGTCATAGTGGTCATGTGTTTTGTCGTAATTATGATGTCTGTTATCATCTGACGCATCTGACACAGGATCGTCATCCCAATCGAGATTTTCTATCCTGTATTCATGCAAGTCAGAGTCATCTATAGAATCTTGTCTGCTCATGCGGCGGAAGTGATATGGATTATATTGTCCCCTGTATGGATCTCGTCCGTTATGGGCATTGTGCGAATCTCTCTTTGCTCCAATGTTCTTGTTCTGTCCATCATTTGTTCGGAGTCGTTGATCATAACGCTGTGACCGTTGATTATGATGCGGCTGTCGTGCATTATCTATGTTTCTACTACGTTCTATATCGTATTTCTCGTCGTACGTTTCACTAGTATTGTAGGCGTGGTTCTTTATACTTTCATGTGGGAAAGAAATGGGAAAGTAATGAATAACAAACAAAAGTGAAAAATGAGCTGCAAACTGTTTTACTGTCAGTACTGGCTACGTCACTTAGAAAATAGACTAATGCAGACCTGTGTTCTTCATAGGATTCCTCGTACTCTAAACCGTCGGGGTGAGTGGGAATGTCTTGTCGCTGTACACGAGAGTCGTCGTCATCGTCATCTTCCGCATATGGAGTATTGAAGCGTACTGTAGGCTTCATTATACAGTACTGTCGTATATCAGTATTAATGTTTATAGTTTTCGGCAAGATTCTTTCTATTTTGTAAACAGGTGGTTTCTGTGATTTGCGTCACATGTTTGTGATACGATGAAAGCAAAACAACATCGTACGACGAGTACAACAAAACTTTGATCAACTTAAACCATTTAATATACTTTTATTCTGCATTCCCTTAAACATTATCGGTAATAATATTAAATATACATTTTTTTATCAATCATCGTCTATAATAATGTCTTTTGAAATGAAAATGTAGTTGTAAGACACCCCTATCAAAACTAGATTTGAAGCCTTTCTTGTGAGAGTATTCCCATTCCCGGTTTACAATGCGGAAAGCGATATCCTATACGTACGTTAAAGTTTGTTTAGGTTCAAACAAAATGCTTGATGTGCGAAAATAAATTGTACTTACCTCATAAGGTGGACCAGCAATAAATCGAATAAGAACTGTATCGTTATTTCCAGGCTCTCGCTCGATTCTGTATGTTGGTGCTTTGGATTTATCAATAAGATCTGGATAAAATATATTGAATTTATATCCCTGCACGACTTTTGGCGGAGGATTGTCACTATCGTAGTGAGTTTGATTGTATTTGTTCCATTCATATCCGGTATGAACACGATTAAAATACCGAGGCTTTCTGGGGCGATACTTATCTTGCCACAGATAGGTCTAGAGTATGTGTATTTCATTAGAGCTATGTCTCAAAAACTATTAGGGCGAATTTAACGAATAACCTACTGTCTTGGCCAGCTCTTCCTCAATATTAAATATTGCTTCGTCCTCATCCAAATCTTTTGCGGCTTCTCTTTCGTATAATACTCTTGACACCTGCGAAAACACAGAATTTAGAAAACCGTTGATTCTCCCAAGTTATCACAAAACAGTTGTAACTGTAGCTTACCATAGACTCATCTTCTTCCTCGGGTATTGCTTTCTTTGGTTGAATTTTCATCGGAATGAATTGATTTCGTAGCACCTCTTTACGTTTCTCTAACTGGAAAATAAGTGAATTTAGCAAAAATCACACATTGAGAGATACAAAGACAAAATTGTTAACATACCAGTTGTTGATAGTCTTCCCATTCTGTCAATATGTCCAATTGCTTGTCTTCCTTCGTTAGCCTGGGAACAAGCATAGGACTCATAGATGGATCGTACGGTTCGATTAACAGATCCGCTTCTTCTGACTCCTCTTCCTCTAAAGACACATCTTCTCCTAAACCTTCCCCATACACATGTCCTCCATGCGAAGCAAGTGCTGTCTCCAACTCTTCCTGTACTTTACTAGCTTCCTCTCGTTGTTTTCTGCGTAATTGTTCCAATCGCTTCTTTAAGACGATTTCATGCATCGATTTTAGCTTGGCCTATATTAAAGCATGTTTGGTTAATGTCAAGCTTACACCATTCGATAACACAATCTTCCAAAAACATACTTTTGCTTTCCAAACTGTTAGCGCTTTTAATAATTGTTCCCAATATTCGACCTCTAAAGGTTCGTTGCTTGCCAGCTTACTTTGAATCTGACCCTGGAGGATGTTAAGCTGTTCATACGTCTTGTTAGCAAGCATAGTGTTGATCTCTTCCTTGACTGGAGCAACGACATGACCCGTTGCAATACTTTCAGCCTCGGACCGAAGTTCGGATAACTTGTCATCACACACAACAATCATGGCCTAATACAACGTAATAAATCGCGTCGAGTCTTGTTGGAATACTTGCAATATGATTACTATATAAATGACATACCCGCCAGAAATCGAGATTTGCGGCATTCTTCTCCAGACTCAAGTATTTCTGAATATCTTGGTGTAATTCTTCTACTTCCTGTATAGTAAGATTTTCAAATATAGTGTATGGCTCATCCACGTCAATTTCCAATGATTCGTCGACACTTTCCGATTCGTCAGCTAGACGTAGATTTATTGCCAATATATCGACTGGTTTTGCTCTGTTCTCTTGAATACGAATTTCAGCGCGCTTTTTTGCTTGCTGGAGATGAAACTGATGCACACACATGATAATGAGTATCTTGCGGTTAGATGTAAACAAAAAACAGCAAGATAAACTACTAAACGATCCATTACGTCGTCTTCCTTCGCTGCCCAATCGCCCATAGCAGCTATCTCAAATTCGCGTTGCAGTCGTGCCTGTGCGAAAAGAGTAGGGAGAATTAATATAAAATATGCAACAATTAAATTTAAAAAGCAGAAAGTCAGTAACGTACGAGTTCTTCCTCTCTTAATTGTTGTTCGATTTCCCTTTCTGCTCGTCTTTTGTTGAGCTTTTCCAATTCTAACTAATAGCGAGAGAAAAGGGGAGGGTAGGAAGTAAGTCATAATAATCAGACATGAGACTTTAAAGTAAGTGTTTGAAATACACATACTCTCGTTTCTTCATGTCTTTCTCGCTCGCGACGCAATGCCTCTTCTGGAGAGATACCCAGCTTCTTATCTCTCTCTTTTTTTTTTACCCATTCAAACCGTTGACCGAGATTATCGTCACCGAATGGATTATCAGCATTCGAATATGCAGAAAATTCGACCAAGGACTGCTTCTCTAATAATTCTCGTTGCTAAAACCGATCGAATTCGTCGTCAGCTCGTGAAAAACAAGCATACTAGTTAAAATGCAGCACTTACCAACCTTCTTTTCCTTCCGCTTCTCTTCTTTTTTCTCCTTTTTCTCCTTTTTCTCTCTCTTTTCTTTTCTGCTCTTTCTCCTTCCGCTATCTCTGTCGCTATCAAGATCTCTCGACGAGGAACGTTCTCTTCTTTTTCTATGACGATGCCTATCTTGATCGCTGGTTGAGGACGATCGACCTCTTCGTGCTCTTTTCTGATCTCTTGGTGACAGGGAGCGTCTTTCCTTTCTCGATCGGGAACGGCTACGATGACGATCTCTAGGACTCGGACTGCGCGGCATGACTGTTAGAGATGGCATAATTTGGCGTTTATAATTTTTAAAGGTTGATGTAGCACATGGTACTATTACATGCATGACGTCACGACTTTCAACGAAATAAAATCGGTTGTTCAATCTTAATGAAATCCTTCTCTTTTCAATTCACCAGTTAAAGGTAAGCTTACCATCTTCACCTGTTCGTTCCTCCCTTCATCCATCCTCTATGCATTCATCCATTTGCTCATCCGTTTATCTGGCTATCATACGATAATTGTTCCTTCGCCGTATACGCAGTTAATTCATTCGATTTCGATCTTTTCGTAGAAACATGGTGAGATATTCGGCCACCCCTGCCGACCCCGCAAAATGTGAGTAAGCGAATGATAAATCACAACTGGCTTGTCAAATTATTGATTGTTAGCTGTTCTTTTGTATAGCTGCCAAGACGCGCGGGTCATATCTTCGAGTGCACTTTAAGAATACCCGGGAGACAGCAAAGTCTCTTAGTGGTAGAAAACTTCTCAAAGCGATAAAATATCTCGAGGATGTAAAGGACCATAAACAAGCTGTACCTTTCCGTCGTTTTAATGGAGGTGTTGGCCGCTGTGCTCAAGCAAAGGCTTTTGGCGCAACCCAAGGTTAATATGAATCAGTGATGAACTTTTGTGATATTGTACGTAACTGATGGTTTTAGATGAAAAGGCTGACCTGGCTTTGCGCGATTGTTGATTAAACAGGTCGCTGGCCAGCGAAGAGTGCCGAATTTCTTTTAGGACTACTGAAGAATGTGCAGAGTAATGCAGAGGTAAGTGATTAAGTAAATTGATTGTCGAATATCGCGACTGCTAGTAATAGTATGAAATATGCATAATTGGCTATTTGTTTAGGCAAAGGAATTGACAGTCGATCGGCTTGTAATTTCTCACATTCAAGTCAACCGAGCACCTAAACAGAGACGAAGAACTTACCGTGCGCATGGAGTAAGTTGATGAACTCGTCTTTGAACAAGTTATTATTTCATTGCATTAACATCTGTATCCGTTGTAGCGCATAAATCCGTATATGAGCAATCCTTGTCATATTGAGATAATAGTATCCGAGGAAGATGCTCAGGTGAAAAAGGAAAGTGAGGGAAAGGATGTTCAAAGATTGAATCGCAGACAAGTTGCACAGAGACAGAGGTTATTAACTGCGAGTGCTTAGGAATAAACGTCAGTGAAGGATGTGTGTAATTGCCATTTTATTTATTGGCTGCCAGTAAAGTGTGTTTTGAGAGAGTATGGACCAATGCTTATTTGTGACCAATCAACGATACTTTATACATGGGGCTACTATCTAGAATCATAGTTGTATCTTTTTATTCTTCGGATGCAGGAAATAATCTGTATAATTCGAATTGGAAGCTGCGAAATGCAAAAACGTTCGATGGGATAAAGTACAAGTGGGTTGAAAGTGAACTCTGCCAGTTCAAATGATCCTTGCAGTCATAATAACGTACAAAAAGAATATGATAATCATATATATATATTTTCTGATAACGAATCTAACAGGCAGATTCTAACTTCAGCGCGACGATCTCCATGATAGAGAGTCGGCAATTGATATTTTTTATGGCCATCCCATATAATATTGCCAGGATCAGTGTTTGATATGAGAGACCATGAATACAATGTTTGTCGACATTATTGCAACACAACTGTTCAACAGGTTATATTTTTGAAAAGACACGTGCAAATTTCCTTGCTTTTAAGCAAAAGAAAAGAATGCAGATTAACCGATTTATTACACTATTAGCTCAAAGCCGTCAAAGCATTAATTAGTATATGAAATCAACCCTTTGAAGTGTATAACTACCAAAAAATCTACTGGGGCCCTAAATGACACATACAAGACAAGTGTCGAGACGGTCCCAAAAAAAAAACACATCTAGCGTCCAACGTCTGTGTGTGTAAAAATTACAAAAATAAGGTAAAATATAAGCTTGTATTTTTTCCATAGATTTAGACGAAAACGCAAAACCATCAACACAATCCCATGATGCAAAGAAGACGAAGAAAAAAAAAAGACTATTAGGAATTACGAAAGTAAATGAGTGAAAAAAAAAAAAAGTAAATGAAGGGATGGAGGAACGAAAAAGCAATAAGTAAAAGAACAGCGGAGAAGCGAAAAAGTAAAAGGAAAGAACTAGAGTTGAAAGAACAAATAAGCTCGCCAGATGAGAGAATTTGAAGAATATGATACTTGTGTATATAATATATATATATATATATAGTCCAAAGGGAGGAAAGGGTATGTACAGAAGTGGTGATATGTAACTTGACTATTAATTGGCTACACCTATATAAAGTGTTTCACCAAAAGATGAAATATCGGAAGCAATGCAAAATAATAAAAGTTAATCTTCCTCAGAGTGTGGTGAGGAAAAAGCCGCGCAGCAACTCTTCCCTTTCGACCCAAAAGCAAATAAGCAAAAAAGATTGATAGATTGATAGAAAACAATCCCCTCCTTGGGGCTCCCTCCTCGGCCCCTTCCTCGGCCCCCCTCCTCTTCTTTTTTTTGTCGTTTATATTACAGCCTTTCCCCGTTCAAAATCCAAATTTATAAAGTAAAAAAGCAGTCAGTTCCACCACGTCCGTGCTAAAACCCTAATTAACGCTCGATTAACCCTTCCAAACCAATCCCTAATTAGTCTCAACATTTGGATAGACCCCCCCAAATTTTTTTTCTTTTTTTTTTTTTTCTCTTTTGTTTTTGCTTTGTTCAGGACGCATAGTAACTGTTCCTCTGCGAATTGCCTCCTCGACTGTAAACGCTCGTCCTCTGTGAACACATACTGTTCCTCTTAGGTTTTCGCGAAACGGTGATCCAACCGTCGTTGGGTAACTCGTTTCTTGCAGGCTCAAATTCCAAACGAGGTGTTTCTGGTGGAGTGGGTGGTCTCTCGTCTTTTGTAGTAGAGTCTGGCGTCCGTGTTTTCTCGGTAGAATTAGAACTACTACGACGGTTGCGTCGTGACTTTGACGAACCGTTCTTCTTCAATGCCTGTAACTCAACCTTTAGCTCTTCGACATGGCGGACTAAAATAGGAAAGGGTAAGAGGAGGAGAGGGAGTTTAATCGATATGAAATGAAAAAGTGTAAATTTAAACATGTGAGGAAATTGGGGAGGGGCATACCTTGATCTTTCGCCTTGTCGGCCTGTTTGCGAAGCGTCGAATTCTCGACTTCAAGTTCGCGCACCCGCGCTGTTTCTTGAATTTTCTTTTGGGAAAGAGTCTCGTTTTGTGCTTTAAGCTCTTTGTTACTCTTTTCAACCTTCTTCCTTTCCCGTTTGACTGCGTTGAGTTGCTTGGTGACAGATACAACTTCATCGCGTAGGGATTCGACGGTCTTGCTCCACTCGTCCTAAAATGTCGAGTAAGAAAAAGGTGTCAAAAACGGAAAAGAAAAAGAAGAGGGGGAGAAGGAGGAGGAGGGGGGGAGGAGGGGGAGGAGTGGAGGAGGAGTGCGCGTGGTTTACAAAAATACAAACCTGCTTGACTTTCATAACCAATTCTGCCAAATCATCCTTAGCCTCAAGCATTTCTCTGGTTGTTTCCAATTCTCTTTCCAGTTGCATGACTTTCTTTTTCTCGGAATCCAATTCTCGATTGATCAAATCAATCTGACATTTGAGCTCTTTGGTTTCTTCGCTCGAACTCTTGTTTTCAGTCTTAAACTTGTCAAACTCGTTGTTCAAGATATCCAGCGCCGATACTAACTCTTGGCGTCGAACTTGTGATTCGGTCAATTCTAGGGCCAAATTATCGGCTTGTGACTTTGCCGAGTTTAGTTCATGGTCAGTTATTTTGGCCTTGTTCTCAAAATCAGCACAGCGACTGTTGGATTCTTCAAGATCGGTTTCCAGATCTTGGATCTCTGCAGTCAAACGGATAATGGTAGAGCGGTTCTTTTCGAGTTCATCACCCGCATCTTTGATTTGTTGGTTGTATTCTGTAAATAAACGTTTCAGTTCGTCTTCAAGTTGAGCGTTAGCCATTTGGAGTTTTTCGGCTTCGGGCGATGGAGAAACTACTTTGCTCTTGAGAGCAGACAATTCCGAGTTAGCTTTGTCGAGTGATAGCTTGGTTTTCTCAAACTCTCTGTTGGACGAGCTGAATTGTGCTTTAATGTTTATTAGCTCGGAATTAGTCTTTTCTAGCTCGGCATGTTTCTCCTCTAGTTTTCTGTGAGCTGTGCTTAGTTGCGATTTTGTAGCACTGAGTTCGGCCAATACCTTTTCAGAATATTGTTTGAACTCTTCGTCTGATTTCGCGTCATTGTTGTTGTTGAGTCGGAGGGAATTTGTCTTTGCGAGAGCTGATTTGTTGTTTTCGAGTTCGGCTGTTATGGATTTGAGTTGAGTCTGCGTGTTCTGGAGGTCTGCTTGCGTTTGACGTAATTGAGACTTTAACTTTTCGCCTTCGGAGAAAGATTGTCGGAGTTCAGTTTGCACTCGCGAGACCTGAGTTTCGGTCTTTTTTAGCTCTTCGGATTTCTGGACGAGTGCAGTTTGCGAGGATTGTAACTGTTCTTGTACTTGCGAGAGTTCTTTTTGGGCGGATGAGAGAGAGTCATTTACTATTTGGTGTTGTTTTGATACGTTGGCTAGTTGTGTTTTTAGTTCTTGAATTTGTGGGGGGGATTGCTGTTGATACTCGTCCAAGTCTATTGGTTTGCGTTTTTCTTCGGTGTGTTCTATTACAGGTTTTGACTTGATGTCCCTTGTTTGTCCTTGCGGATTTTTTATGCTCTTTTTTTTGAATATAGAGAAGGGGGATTTTACCTTTACTTTCATATTGCGTGTTCCTCGTAGTTGTGTGAGGATGCTTTGTGAAGTATATATGTGTGAACTCTAATGTGTTTATTTGTGTGCGAGGTTTCGAAAAACTTCTTGTGAAAGTGCGTAGATAGCGAACGATTGGTATTTAATATTCGTGCAGTGGTGAGTTTATGTGATTATTGACGATGTGACATTTAGAAGAGAGAATGGCCGAATAATATAAATTTGGGTGTTATATGAATAGTATTGTTTATATAATGTGGTGTATTACAAAACTAAACATCACATGCTGTAATAGTATCATGCTGTGCGCTTACACTATATTTTATAATATGCGTGTATACATTGTATTTAATATTTCGGACGTGCTTAATGTAGTACAGATGCCACTCATAGTTACGATTGTTAATCGCTGTATTATATGCAAGGGATATGGTTAAAAGTTGGCACAACTTTGCGAGACATATACGCAATTATTGTACCTGTATCCATCGTTCCTCTCTCACCCTCACTCGCTCGCTCGGCCTTGGCTTTGTTGTTTGCCATTATGTTTATTTTGTATTAGTATCTGATTTTTATTCGTTACGCAAAAGGACATTTACCATACGGTATGTGTAACATTTTCTCGTAACCAATCACGTAACTTACACAAATCCAAAACAGTAAGGAAAGTATTAGCACACGAGAGTGAATAAAAAGGCAGACAAACAAGTACAATTTAGTTAAGGTTTTGAGGTGAGACAGTTTTATAGATTTAATGTGACAATTGTCATATTTGTAATACGTAATATATATACAGTATGTATGCGCAATCATCATGAGTATATTAATACGATTGATTACCCATCTCTCTCTTGCTTATCATAATGTCGACCCATCCCCCCCCCCTTTCCCTTTATCTCGCTTTTCCATTCATTTCTATTATTTCCCTTTGTTTACCTCACTTTACCCCGTTTCTCGCTTGTTACTCGCACAGCCATTCCTTAATCCTCTCGGCTGCATATCCTTCCAACCACTCATAGTAAACCACAGACGAGAGGTCTGTGTAGAACGTCTATTCATATTTGCAATAAGCAAATGATATCTCACTGCATATACCACGCACGTTGGACGGCATCCACATGACAACGGTTAATAGAAATGTGCTAAACATTAATAAATATATTAATATAACATTTCAACTCGGCTAAATTGGGCAGAGATTACGATCTTTGTATATACCTCCAAGTGTATTATCTTGATTGGATGATAACAATAATGTAACTGTCAAAGGGAAGGGCGAAAGACAAGGAAAATCGTTATATATTCCATGTTGGTATATTCATTGTATATATATTTCCGTCCATTGCATGCAAATGACCGTCTGTGGCTGGATGCGAAAGTGGCGAATTTGCTTTGGTCTCTAGTGATCGACATAACCAGCCATCAGACAAACAAAGCCTAGCTCACTGATAGATGGGTGGAGTGATAAGAAGAGAGATGGAGGAGTGTTGAATGGTATAGAAATTGAGTAAACCATCACATAAGAATATCTATTTGTTGTTATTGTATTCTCTACATATTTCTGATGACAAATAAGGAACGTAGATCAAAACGGCGCACTTTAACACACACATCTCACCCCTTAACATCCTCCCCCCCTGTATAGTGCTCCCGCTCATTCCACTGCTTTCTGTCAATGCATCCTCATATCACACGGTTTATGTATTATCACATAACAAAGATAGGAACGATAAGAATCTCTCGTGAGCAATTTTTGAGTAGCAAATAATCATGTACTGTATATCGTATGAGATTGTGATAATCTTTGAAATGCCTATATCCCCACATACATACATATATACATATATATACTGATATTGTAAGTGAATATAAGTCAGGACACATATTAAATTCTCGTGTCCATTGTTTCTATTTTTACATCTCCCCCGTATTAATATCTTATGTTATTTACAAACAGCAGCAAGGGCAGACCGCAATATGTTACAGCTGGTCCAAATGAGAAATTTCATTCATTGTATGAGTGCGCTCGGAGACAAACAGCGAACTCTAACGGTAGTACAAACGCTAATTAGGACTAGTCGCAATTATTTATTAATAGTACTATCAGCCGAGATATAATCTTGAATGGAAGCTTAGACAAGACAAACGAAATGATTTTCCTGGGGTTTCCCCCGAATGTCATGGTATTACAAACAATGTTTCGTAAATGTTGTGACTATTCGACCCAATGACTGATTTCCAAACAGATTTTCGCTATCCATATGCGTGAACAACGACGCTAACGAAAGTTTAACACTTTGCTGTGAAATGATCATCATATAACGATTGAGCACATAAGAACGATAGACATTGCGCTTGCCTTCACTCTCATTATCGGCCAGGGGACCTCATCTCGTAGATCGACTCCCCCCACTTGCAAAGCAGATGTGACGATGAATTACTTTATTCGAAAAAGATACCTCACGATTTTGGCGTTGAGCAAGCCCATACAATGCGTGAGTGAGCAATACGTTTACAACATGATAATTAATAGTCGTGCGGACAGCAGCTGCGACATTTACGTTATGTAATATCTTTACTTTCTCGGTTGAATTGGACAATCGCAAGCATTGATAAAAAACTGCATGTTTCTTTCAAAACCTTACTTTATCGAGGGTCAATGCAGGCGTATGTTCGGTCAAAGAACAGCCTTTTGAGGTCGATCTTCGCAGTAGGAGGTCTTTTCTTTGCAAGATCTGCAGGGTCTGTTGAGAGAGAGAGAGTTTTTTTTCCGCAGATCTTACGGACATAGCTAGTCTGTTCTACTAAACGTATAGTGATGATAGGAAATTCAAGAGGTAACAGAGCAAACTTGCAGTAAAAGGGTGTTTTACACCTTTTCTTATTCGTGTTGATCCTTCTTGGGAGGTACACCCCTGAACTAGCTGCGGATAACTAATGGATATCCATTGTACTAAAATACCAGTATGAAGAAGCATTGAAAAGAATCAGTTAACGACAATACTTGCCAGTCTCTCTGTGTTCATCATAACCTGAAATTGTATCGTTTTTAATTGTGTTTGTTTGCTAGTAAATTCGACTAGTCACTCACAGTCGCTATCATTTCCCATATTGGGGTATCCTCATGCATACAATATAAATCAGGTTATTATATGTAACCATTATTATTATGCCATGGAGTTGTACCAGTTTTTTGCTTATTTCTGTTTCCCTGAAAGTAATGCATTTCTAATTATATTCGGGGGACATGCACGAAAAATGCAACGATAAATGAATGTTTATTAGCGATGACGACATCAAGCAGATAAGATTTATATGATTCGGGGGAAAAGTGACGAGGGGCAGGAAAAGAAGAGGAAGAGAGAAAGGATCTCGAGTTTAGTGTGTGAAAAGAGAAGGATTGGCGTTGTAAGATGTTTACGCTTGCTACGTAAATGCACATGTTTTTTTTCTTTTTCCGAGTCTCGCATCTAACTATTTTGATGCGAGTATTATTTTTTTTAGTTGTAATGCTCTTTGGGAGAAATCATAGAGTATAGATTATAATTATAATGAATATGAAATTCACATGTCAATTGTGCCTTCTTATCAAGCAATCACGATATCTTTTTATCAACATAAAATTTCCTTCTCATCTTCCGATCGTATATAGTGCAAATCGATTTTCAGCTCATCACTTATGATTTTCAAGTGGGGAACAGGTTGCGATGATACGAAGGCTTTCTGTTGCCAATCTTGTTGAGCACCGTCTCTGCATCATCGAACGTTGAACGATCAAGTGAATTGAACGTTGTGGCAAAGCAATCGATGAGTATGCCGCTGGTTGGGTAATCTGGCGTTTGTCGAGCCTGCATACTGTGCTGTATGTTATGTAAGAATCGATGCGGTTTCGTAAGGTACCCCACGGGGTGTGCTGCAACAAAAAAAAAAAGCTGACGAAGGTGAGCATATGACATCATAAGCAACCATCTTTTATTTGGAGGACATGACTTCTTTTTCAACGCCAAAAAACCATCCCATCGTGGCTGTCACCATTTTTGCCAAAATTGTTTGAACGATCACAAAGCTTGATATCTGATTGGAAGATCTTTCTTTTGATTGATTGATTGTCGATTTAAAAAAAAAAAAAATTCTTTCTCAAGACACTCGATAAGCATCCAGGGGTTGTGTCGCCAAATCAATGAATGTCTCTCTATTTGATATATCACGGGCCGTTACGGGCTTTTCCAGATTGGCCATCAGATTGCCTTGTTGGCTCTTGTCTGATACTGGCAGTCAAGCCTCTCTCTCTATTTCACCACCCGAGTTTATTGACACCAATTAACATCTTTCTACTTCACTAATTAGTAATTCTAATCCGGATTTATGCTTGACAGATGAGCTTGTTGTGCATAACGTTTTGCGTGTAATCCAATAGGAACAGGTCGTGTTAGCGTTACCTACAGTTGTCGCACAAATCGGTAATGTTGCGAAACCACATAAGCAACTTTCCACACATAAGCCTCCCCTCTCCGACTAACAGAGCTATAACAAGTCTAATATATATTGTCGGTGATCACCGTTTTCCCTAATGACCTTTTCAAATCCAATGTATTTACTCTTTTGCCATGAAAACGGTCCATGATCGAAAAGACTTTGGGCTACGGTGATACGTTCCTCATCTTTTTAAGTATGTTCAGCAAAATTCTGGATTTTACTTGCCAAGATTTCATATGACGTCACAAATAAATTATGCATTTACTCGTACTTGGTATTCTCTTGTTCTGGACCACTCTATCTTGTACCCATCCAACTTACAACCAATCTTCTTATTCGCATCAGATATTAATATTCTGTCTGTAACATGCAAGTAAGCTGCCTCCCTACTTTACATTTTGAATGGGACATTTTCTAAAAATATAACAAACTATGCGTACATGTTACAGGGAATAATATAATTTATAATTCCCGTTTCTATTGTTGTCTAGAGATTTCCCAATGTCCATTGACAATACGGATTGTCCATACACAATCGTTCTTATTAATGAAGCATACATCGACATCCCATCCCCCTCTAAATTATCACATAGTCTTCTTATTGATAAGATCAAACCCGAACTAAGCATCTAAATCAGATGCGACACTCTCCCTGCAGCTAACGTAATCACTATTAGAGTTGGGATTTTCTACTTGGCATCTGAACATACTTTATGCAAATGAGCGGTTTACGTTGAAAGAACCCAAATCAATCGCAATAGAGCTATAGATCGGAGAAGACAATTTACTTGGAATGTGTTGTTCAGCTTACTAATAGTTATTTGGATCGACCCTCAGTTACTGTATATATCATAATAATAAGTATTTACTTTTACTGGCGTGCAGCTAAAATGCATCTGTTAGGTTCCAGTGATCAACCGAGTTTTCGTGACAATAGTTATCATTAGTGATTGACAAACAATGGAAAGCAACATCGGTTAGCATTCATACTATTACTATTACTATTACTAATTATTACGGATCGATCTCACGTGAAATTGAGTTACATGGCTACTGCATCGTCATCAGCAGCACCGTAACTTTCCTTTTTTTTTTAAAAAAAACAAAAAAATTCTTGAGCCTGAAAATTATACCTTCAACTATCAATCTTCATTTGTTGCATCAGCTTTCAAATTACCCAAATCTCTTCTTTAGATCTGTCATCGTCAATTGAAACTTTGAGTCTGTGAATGAAATTGGAGCTGATTATAGAGTCAGATACATTCGAAAAGAAAAGAAGCCACCCTATGATTTGATTAAACGCTAACGCTTAGGTTATGGCAAACCGGAACCAAGTGATTTATCTCCCTTAAACCCCATGACTCTGTAATTTGCGAAATTCCGACTAGGACTCATCTCGATTCCATTTTGGAATTGGAATATCTGGTCTAAGAAAAATGGTATTGCTACTTGTTCGCGAGGAGATTTTAAGCGTTTTATGAGTGAAGGGGCAGCAATCGGGGCATAGAGCTGTGTTGGTTGGTAGATCCGATAAAACCATGTTCAAGAAAACACAACCGAATTGTGTGCCGTACAAACGTGAATGAGAGGATGTTACCGGCCAGGTTTCGTGCTCAATTAGGAAAATTCAACAAATGGGTATCTCGCAGGTATGTTGTATGTCATCTGTCTTGTTGCTTCCATGGTAATTTATTATGCGGGAACGTCGAACGATGACAAGCACATCGAAATTGAAAATGCACTCAGGAAACTCCTAGGGCGAGATTTGACATGCCTTACATGTTTATACAAGATTATTTTAATATGAACTAAGACTGACACCTGTATGTTATTCCAACATTCCAATCACATTCTTAAAAACTGGAAAAAAGGTTTGTCTATTTTTTAGACAAACAACAAGATCTCAAAATAAGAGCTTGGTTGTTTGCATGTGAGCAGTAATCAAAAGTCCTTAATATGAACTCGAATTGACCGCCTTAGTAAGTATATGCACCATTATAACCACGATACTGTGCGCGATTCTATTATCTTGGTTTTTAACCAATAAAAAATACCAGTTCTTGGTAATTTCTGCCGCATCTTTATCGTCAATCTGACGGCTATTGCTTGCTATTCGGACCAATTGTTATTGGCTTAAAATCGTTCATTTGGACTCCGCCTGTGGTGGATTCTTGAAACACCCAAGCTTTCGCTGTCAGCACTTTTGAAAGTACCTGTCCAATAGACGCTTGACAAGAAGACAAACTGGCTCGCTGAGTATTGTTATCATATCCTTTAACCTCTATGTTACGTTCGGTCTTGTCTCGAAAACTGTAGTGACTGCCTCTATTCCTATCAATGGTATTCATAAGATACAATTATTCAAAGACACATTGTGTTATGCACTAACGAAATATATGTAATGTAGTAAAGTACGTTTAAAAATATCGTATCGACTAAACTTCCAAACAAACAAGTACAGGTTCTATCGACACTTGAGAATTAGTTCTTATTTAGAACTTCCTTCCTATTATTAAGTTGTGTCTTTTTGCAGATGCTTGGCCTCGATATATTGCTAGTTGCTTTCGATCCAACACGCACACATTATGCGTCGCTTATGTCTAAGTTTTGACAATACGTTGTTTGAAAACGTGTTACCGATCACTTGTTTACATACCTACTTATTAATTACAATTTAGCAACTTTATCCATAAAAGTATACAAGTAGTAATAATCTGAGTCTTATGCAAAGACGATAATTACTGAAACATGTAGCTTATATTGAGCGATCAAGCAATAGGTACCTTCTGTCGAAAAAAATTGTATAACGTATGCATCGAATGTTGTTGTTTAGTACTTGTCTTGTTTGTTATATTTTAGAAAAATTGTCGCTCTCTCTTGAGCTTCAAATCTGGAATATCACGTAAACTCAAAAAAAGTAATAAAAACTCCTTGTAAACCAAATGACGCGCTTTACGCTATTACCTTGCAAAAGATAACAAGCGGACTTTTACTTCTTCGTTCCGAGTTTTGTTGTGGCAGCACAGCCAGCGAGGGACGAATAACAACTCCACCACTCTCGCTTCTATTCAGGAGCGACATTTTGATGCGCTGGTCGCATCGTCTTATTTGCTTGGCCAACCGGTACTATTCCTGCGGAGGGATATTACCAACCATTTATTTTTTTATTTCTTCTATTATACATGTAGGTCTACATTTAGCGTACTGTGACTTGCAGACGCGCCGTCACTTTGACGCAAGACGCCAAGCGTATTAACGATGGCGAGACCTCTCGAGGTGAGATGAAACAAGACGGTTTTTGCGATGGCATTAT